TCCTACACGCTTGGAAAGGGAGGGTGAAGCAGGGGAGTTGCAATATGCACTGCTAGATGCCACTAAATCCTACACACTGGACCTTTAAGATTGCTACTTGGGCTTGCGTTAATATTAGAATATGGAAAAGAGCTGCAACTAATGCCTAATTTGCTTTTTGTTTTTTTTCTTGATTTCATTATTCATACAGACAATGAAATGCTGATGTAATGACAGAGCCCAATTTTTAGTTAGCAGAGCTCAGAAAGTCAAAGCTATTCAATTTACAATGATACAGAGAAAATATAATTTTTTGTAATTAAGTAGTGCCATTTGTACAGATGCGCAAAATTGATTAGTCAGTTGGCAAAAATTGTAATGAGTAATCTTACACTACTATCTGCCCAGTCCCCATTCAGTATTATATCATCTGATTTAATGTTTCAGTACTTCACTAAATTCATCAGGTGTACATTACACAAGGCTTCTCTGTTGTTAATAATACGTGTTCAGAATGCATTTAAGGCCCTTTTAAAGAGCAGTGTTGCTGTTGTGTCGTTTCAGATGAGAGTGGCCTCCTGGTGCACTGCATATCAGGCTGGGACCGGACGCCTCTGTTTGTGTCCCTCCTCAGGCTCTCTCTGTGGGCAGTAAGTTCTTACTTTTCCTCCCCCTTCTGTCTTTTCATCTCCTGTATTCTCCCCCGGTGTCTCCCCACATGACACCCAGTCACCCGGCAGCTCATTTGGCCCATCCAACATTCATTAGTGACTTCGGTAATCCCACGCTGAATCCATCTGCCTCAGCCCCAGCCAACCCCCCCCACCTCATTCGTACCTCTCCACATACAACTAATTTACCATTTCAAACACGCACTTTAATTAGTCTCTTCTGTATTCAATGCCTTTATTAAAAATAGAGGCCTTATGTTATAAATATGTAATCTTTCTCTCAAGACGTGGTCCATACTGGAAGTTTCCCATGAAACCACAGACCACACATGTGGGACACATGTGGGAGCTGCTTGACGTCTTGTGGATGATTGACCCGTGGTGTTCTATTTAAAACAGCATGTTTGAAATGTTTGAATGGCTCTTGTCATGTATATTTCACAGGACGGCGCGGTGCATGCCAGCCTGGAGCCGGCCCAGATCCTGTATCTGACCATCGCCTACGACTGGTTCCTCTTCGGGTAAAAAAATAAATAAATTATCATATCATTATCATGATAATTTCATGACTTCACAATGAGCTGTAACTCACAACGCATTAGCAGACATAAATACTTCAGAGGTGCATTTGCGACTTCTCTGTGCCATTTGGTTTGAGATGTTGGTCTGTAACGCATAATTGAAAAGTAGCTGGTTAATGCAGCAGTGGGACAGGGAGGCCAAGGACAACATGAGGCAAGTAGTACTGCTCTGGCTTTGCTCTCGAACACGTCTTTTATCCTCCCACGCTTAACATTTTCACTCTCTCATGCACTCACACACGCTCTCTCTTGGGGTTCTCCTTTCATCATTACCAGCACGGTCCCTCCAATTTGAGCTCATCAGAGGCAGTCTCATAAAAAGCCCCTCCGCTGCCAGCTAGCCCATGTAACATGTAATTATACATCAGCAGGCTTGCCTAAGCCCTCAGGACATTGGCCAAGAAGAAAAGGTGTGGTTTTGAGTGTGTGTGTTTGTGTAAGTGTGTGAGAGATCAGTAAAGATGGGGTTGGATAAGGCAGAGAGACAGAAGGAGTTCCCAGAGGGACTGTAGGTGCTGCACTTTACCTCATCAGTCACAACTGAATCATATTCTGACTTTATTTGTGGAGTAATTATTGATTTCTCTACTCTGTCATGGACATGAACATTGTCAGCAGCACCAAAATAGCTGTAGTCACTGTTACACAATTACTCTCTGGAGAGTGTGGTAGATTATGCTCCATTGCTCGTGCAATCTCAACAATTTGATTCTGAAGTAGTCTTCATAAGGTCCAGTATGTAACCTTTAGGAGGATCTATTGTCAAAAATGGAATATAATATTTATAGGTATGTTTTCATTAGTGTATAATCACCATCATAGATAGGGTCTTTCACATTAGAATGATTTATTTCTGTAACTTCAATGCTATATACCACTGAATCCTACACACCGGTCCTTTTTAAAGGGTAAAAATAAAAGGCAAATAATGGTTTTATCATACTGCATACTGCAACCTCCTTGGTTGGCAAATGAAGCCAATATCTCTATAGCTAATTTACCCGTTCATGATAACTGTACAAGGGTGAATTCTTATATAAGTCACTCGTTTACATTCTATTAAGGCTTAAAGTTATGCATAATTAAGTGCGTGGCTTCGATGGGGTGACATCACAGTAACCAGGCTTCATTTCGCCCACCTCAACTCCACATACCCTCCAGTTAGCCTGGAGCTGGCGGAGTCAGCACGGCCAAGAAACCTATGGGTGACGTCACAGAGAGGACATCTGTTTTTCATTATACAGTCGTCAATACACTGAAATTGACATTTAAAAAATTCTACAGAATAAACAGTGACTTTGTCACTCTTTCTTAAGCAGTAAGAAGCTGCTATGAAAACAGTGAGCAACTGTTTAAACATCCCTAACTTTTGATTAAAAATGTCAACCAATGCATGTTTAAGGGATTCACCTAGGTTCAAAAATTCTTTGATGGGATTGTTTTGAGTATTTCTTTGTACATAAATAAGAGCAACTATCATGTAATGCAGTTTTCTTTTTTGTATCTATTTCCAGTCACATGCTGCCAGATCGACTCTCCAAAGGGGAGGAGGTAAGTCTATCCCCAACTTAAGTTTTTATTATTTTTTCTATGATGATGATGAAGGTGAAACAGTGATGAAAATATTTTGACAATAGCACTTGATAAAGCAAATATAATGGATCGCCAAAAGGATTAGATCCCTCAGACAAAATAAGGTTACGTGTGTGTTACGATTATCTTGCCATTTGCCAGGCGGAGCGTCAAGCGGGTACGATCCCGCGTAAGTGTCGCAGTCTTCTTTCTTTCTTTAGGTTTTTTGAAAAAGTGGAAAGATGTGTCCCTTGTTGCAGGAAATCAATACAGGACTGTATACTGGCCAGCTAGACAGCTTTTTCAAGTCAAGCTATGTGAGGATATTCACCATTATCCTGATAATGGAAAATCACCACGATAAATCTTAGTGTTTTTATCGCGATACACAATAATATTGTATATCGTTCCATCCCTAATTTAGAGACTATAGATGAGGAAAATTCACACATTGCTCTAGTACTAAGATGGAGCTGTTTGTTATGTATTTTCCCCTCCAGCTCATGTTTGACCTAGGTATATAAAGAGATGAATGTTACAGTTTGTTTTTGTGCATTTGTGCATTTAGAACAAAACTTAGCTAAAGGGCTATTATGTTTGTATAGATTGTAATCGTCAGAAAAATAGTTGCAGCCTCTTTACACCCACCCCCTCATTATATGCAAATTTGATTGATAAATGTGGGATGGATGGAATTAAACAAAAAGTTCAAGTTTTATTCCTGTGTTAAAACTTAGCCCAACAGATGTACCAGCACGGCCAGTATTAGTGGCTGAGTTTAGCTTATCACAGATAGTATGTGAGTCTTGAGACTGAAATTCTACCTACTCTTCCACATTGATTGGTCGTGGGGGGAAAATAAGCACTAAACTCTCCACATTATTTCTAGGTTAACAAAATTTACCACATTTATTTTTCGCTCTATCGTTACCTTTAGGACATATCTACTAAGTACATTTACATACAGTACACACTGGCAAGGATTGCAGAGCTTCCGTACTACAACAACAAGCTAATGCAGTATAAAGCTCTGCAGAAAAAGCAACGTGAAAAAAACAGTTACAGGCATCCAACCTACTGACATTATTTAGTTGGCTTCAAATGAGGTTTAACATTCAGAGTTTCTTTCTATTGTCCCTCAATAATTAGTACAAAATGTATTTCTAAATAAATGGGTTCATACAAATAAGTTAAAAACAAAATAGCAGTGCAGTGATTTATGTTTGATTGCTGTGTCTCCCCTCTCATCAAACATGTCTTTTCTCCCTCAGATTTTCTTTTTTTGCTTCAATTTTTTGAAGCACATTGTCTCAGAGAAGTTCTCTGCTGTTAGGAAACAGAGGTGTGTTCCTCCTTTATGTTATTATGCTTTATACGTCTGTTATGTTCTTTATTTCTTTCTTTTTTCTTTCCTTCTTTCTTTCTTTTTCTATTTTTTTCTTTTTTCTTACTTCCTTCTTTCTCTTCCTTTTTTTCTATCTATTTATCTTTCTTTCTCCATGTGAAACATTCATTATACTCAGCTATGTGTAAATTATATTAACACTCGTACAGTAAATAACTCTGTGAATGACGAGCTTCTGTAGGCAAATGTCAGCTGTGTGATCCAGTATTCTTTTTCTTCTTTTCATCTCGGTTGTTATTTCATCATCATTTTGTTTTCTTTCAGAAGGAAGAACTCCCACTTCAAAGACGGTGATTTCACTGTGGAAGACCTCTGCCAGTTAAGTAAGTCTCATACATTCCTCCCTCCGCACAGGCCCACATACAGGGTACCACTGATGGATCTTTGATGGATGTAGCTCATTTATAGCACACATTTTATTTTGTAACTATGTTTAATTACAGTCATGGTAGTTGGTACTATTGCATGGTTCCTAAACCTAGATTTGAGACTTAGACACCAAATATCCTGGAAATAATCTGTGTTGTTTTGATTGTACTTAAGCCCCTCACTTAGATCGCCTATGAATGCCTAGGTTAAAGGAAAACTGTAGTAAGCAGTTGTGAAATCAGTTTCCCATAAACGCTGACCACCTTCATCATGAACCTGCATCATTAAAAAAGGAAAAAATAAAACTTAAAATTTATAAATACAAGACCTACCAGTAATTAATATATATGACCATTTGTGAGAAAGTGCCCTTCAGACCCTGTGTCCATTACAATGGACGTCACATGACAGGGGCTTTTTTTTTACGCTTTGCAACATTTAACACCACTTGAACCCTCAAGTCCATTGAATTGGATGTTTAACAACCAATCAAACGGCAGTATAGCTTTGCTTGTTGACGTATGAAAAAAATCCACCACACGGAAGAGAGGCATGGCAGGGTCGAAGTAAGGATCATTTTCAACAGTTTTATTCACATTTATGATATTTGTGCCAAGGTTTCATAGTTTTGGACTATAGATATTGAAAGATGGAATGTATGAATAGAATGTAATATCACATGTTTCAGTGCAAGTTCTTACACAGGATTTTTTCAAATATGTTTTCATGGGTCAGAAACCATGTTATTGAACTCAATTCGCCAGTATTGATGAATGACCTTATTACTATAAAAACAGTACATCAGAACAAGAGAATGAGTTGATAATCAGTTGAAAATATTCCATATGCAGAATATACAGCCCTTGAAGTCCTTGAACTGATCGACAATGGAAATATCTCTGATATTGACATTTTTGGAAGCGATGAGGAAGATGGAGATGCTGATAATTTTCCAAGAGTTGGTGAGTGTAGAAAGTCAGTGAATGTCATATTGAAAAATAGTCATGTTTTAGTATAAACATCACATAATATCACATATAAGATTTAAAATAAATAAATAAATAAATAAAATGAATACAAAGTTTAGGGCCCTTACATACTCAGGAACAGTATGGTGACATAGCACAGACAGATAATGTTTTGCTAATGATTTCAGGGGAA